CATAGATCAGGTTGCCTCCCCAGACTGGGATGGAACCAAAACCTGGACATGTGGCCTGACTGGGAATTGAACTAGTGACCTTTTGGTGCACAGGACAATAGCTCAACCACTGACCCACCCAGCCAGGCAGGGCTGCGTTACAACATAGGGCTACCAGGTCACTACCCTTAGGAATTTTCAGCTCCGCTATAATCTTATAGGACCACAGTGTGGATGCAGTCCGTTGTTGACAAAACCGCCGTCATATAACACATGGCTATTATTATTTTTAAAGAATCCAAAGAAAAAATTTGAAGAAAATGCAAAGCCAAAGACTGGAGTGTTGGCAGTGAGTGAGGGGAAAGAGAAGCTTTTGCTTTGTAAGCCAGTCCCTCCATTCAGCAAAGTTAGGGAATCAGAACTGCTTTTGTTCAGATTGAAAATCCGAGGGGGTAATTATGCTTAAGATTCTTGCAACATCGCTTCAATTATTTCAGCTGCCCTCCTCCCGCTGCCCTTGGACTTCATTGTCCGTGAAGAGAGACTGTGTTTGACTTTGCTTGGAAACCATAAAACCACAACAAAATCACTCTCCTGAGTGCTACTAGGCAACCCCAACACGGGGATCTCTCCTGCACCAGGAGAAGGCCTTGTCCGGAAAGACTCACACAGGCTCAGATGGTGCATCCCACGGAACTGGAGGCCACTCTTCGGCATCATCTTAATAAACACTCAGCACTAAATCCCATGAAGATGCCCCGTGCCTTCTCAAGAGAGCGCAGCTTGATCAACAACAATAGCAAAACCCTGCAAAGCCCGGCCAGTCTCGGTGATGCTACCGCTGCTGAACTGACAGTCAAAAGGTCAGCTGCTGTTATCTCCCTGAGAAGTCCATTGAATGGGAGCCCTGGAATGTTCTTATTGAGCTGCATCACTTCCTTCCTGGGACCATCGGGGCACTTCCCCAGCCTTTCAAGACAGGTTCTGCTCCAAAAAGGTCTACAGGGCGAGGAAACCCCAGGCCGAAGTTAGGGGCCGCCACACACACAGTCTTGCTGGGGCTCTAGGCCATTTCTCCCCTCCTAGCCCCCCAGGAGGTGAAAGGCTCACAAGAGGGTGGGTCACAGGCCTGACCTTGCTGCAGAGAAAAGCCCGAGGCCCTGCATCTCCGGGAGGGAGGTAAGGGACGCCTGTCAGACGCCCTCCCGGTGCCCTGTCCAGGGACCGGCGCAACCTGGAGCCTGGCGCGCGGCCAGGAGGGGTGTGGCGACTCCG